TGGCGCTTGGGTTAGTGGATGGTTTTGACTTTACTGCCGAAAGGATTCTGGTAAAGAAAAAAAGAATCCTGTTGTTCTCAGTTAATACACCATCTTTAGAAGGAAGTGCATTATTATGGGCCAAATTGTGCCCTCCTAAAATTCATATTTGAAGCCCTAACTCCCAGTACTTCCAAATGTGACTGTGTTTGAAGATAGGGCCTGTAAAGAGGTGGCTCAGGTTAAATGGGGTCATATGTATTACAGGTGGGCTCTATCAGTCTGACTGGTGTCCTCATAGGAGGAAATTTGGACACACACAGAGACACCAGGGATGTGCATGCGTGGAGAAAAGACCATGTGAAGACAGAGGGACAGGGAGAAGTGGCTGTCTGCAAGCCTCAGGAGAAACCAGACCTGCAGACACTTTGCGCTTGGACTTCCAGCATCCAGAACATAAGAAAATACATTTCTGTTGTCTAAGGCACCCAGTCTGTGGTACTTTATTATGGCAGCCCTTGCAAACTAATACATGTATTAAAACAAACTAAGCCAGGAGTGGTGGCCTATAGTCCCATCTACTTGAAAGGTTGAGGCAGGAGGACTGCTTTGAGTCTGGGAGGCTGAGGTTACAGTGAGCTGTGATTGCACCACTGCACGCCAGCCTGGGCAAGAGTGAGACCCTGTTTCTAAACATAGACACACATACCCCTAAAACAGATCTATATTAAAATGCTTTGTCTTGGTATTTTTACCAGGTCTGAAACAAGGCTTTTGACAACATGAGACTCATGTGGTCCAGAACTTTGAAGCAGCTACATTTGAAAGACTTTTAGGTTTTCTTCACTTGTCACCAAAATCTGTTACAAATTCCAATGTGCAATTGAATTTGTGTATTAAAACAAATTTATACGACCAATGTCTGAAATAGTTTGCTTAAGGAAGCCCTTAACCGCTTCTATGTGTTTTAAGAAGTTTTAAGATTATAATTTTTACGCTTTCGTCACACCTTTAGGAGGGCTTTTTCTTTTTTTTTTTTTTTGAGATGTAGTTTTGCTCTTGTCACCCAGGCTGGAGTGCAATGGCCTGATCTTGGCTCACTGCAACCTCTGCTTTCTGGGTTCAAGTCATTCTCCTGCCTTAGCCTCCAGAGTAGCCGGGATTACAGGCGCCCGCCACCATGGCCAGCTAGTTTTTGTATTTTTTAGTAGAGACAGGGTTTCACCATATTGCCCAGGTTGGTCTCGAACTGCTGACCTCAGGTGATCCGCCCGATTCGGCCTCCCAAAGTGCTGGGATTACAGGCGTGAGTCACCGCGCCCGGCCAAGTAGGGCTTTTTCTAATTTCCTGGATAGACATGAGCAAGTGGTTTGAGATGGATGGCTTGGGTCACGGAGGGAGGTGGACAGCACAGGTGTGTGGTTTGTGGCAGCTCTAGGTTTCCCTGCAGAGGAACATGCATAGAGCAGGGAACCAGCAAGCGTAGCTGCAGCGGTCCAGGAGGATGTCACCGCAGGCGCCAGGGGTGGAGGGGGTGGGCAGGAAGTCACGGATCTGAGGACTTCGAGGATACTCGGTGACTGACTGAAAGGGGCACCCAGGGGACCTGTGAAGCTCCGCTCAGGGGATGAAGCAGCTAACGGCCCCTCCGGGCCTCTGGGGGAGCGGCAGCTGGGGACGGAGGGCAGGTGCACTCACTTTTGTACACCACGAGCTTAGTGTTCGCGAGGACCTCGCAGGCTGTGCAGCAAGTAGGTGCTGTGACTGGAGATGGAGACGATGACTAAACACCAGAGTGAAACTGGACAGAGAACACCAAGTGAGAAGTAGGTCAAAGGGGGAAAGATGGAATAGGGCGGCAGCAACTCCCGCTGGGGGCAGAAGTGGAGCCCCCAAAGGAGACTGTGACAGAGGAGGAATTGCAGGGAAGAGAAGTGGGTAAGCAGCGTCTCCCGTTTTAATGCACTTCTCCAGAACACGTGCAGGGCAAGGACATATTTGTGACAATCTCCTTGGGATTCTATGCGGAAGGTTCAGACCCAGACTATGAGGAACACGGCTTTCAGCACAAGGTTTCCAAGGAGCTGGTAAAATCAGGGCTGGACCAGTTGATGGGGGCGCTGGAGAGCTCGGCAACAAGGTCCCCAGCAGAATCCTCGGAAAGCAAGAAGCCGATGGCAAAGCCAGGTGGGAGAGGCAAGAAGAGGGAGAACTGCGTCACACGAGTTGTTTTCATTAAAAACAAACAAACAAAACAAAATCTAGCAGAAAGTTGGACGTGTTTTAAAATGGAAAGCATGGAGGGAAGGTTTGAACACAGAAGGGAAAGTAAAGACTCTCGAATAGACAGGAAGAAAGCGGGGTGAGGCTGTAACTAGGCTCGAGGTGAAAGCACAGTTGGAGAAACCGTGGGAGACACCAGGGAGCTGGGGTGCTGCCTGAAAGCCTGGGGGGCCTTCTTGATGTGGCGGGCAAGGAGGCAGTTGCAGACAGAATGCCGCCCTTAGCTAGCGAGCAGGACGGCCCTGCAGCACGGCTGGGTCTCTAGAAATGACCTGGGCAGACAGAAGGCATGGGAATGGCAGAAGGCCATTTCTCCAGCAGGAAAACACTGCAGTAACCTCGTTTCCCGGTCTTGGCTACACGTCCCCCTCCTTCGCAGCTGCCTGTGGCTATCATCGCTCATGGAGAAGACGTCTCCCCGGGATTCGTGGTCACTGGGGTCTCACAACATGCGCAACACAACTGTTTCTGTCCTGGGATATACTCAAACTAAGGAGACGGACCGCTGCTTCTAACCGCCTGCCATGCCGAGGGATGCTTTCCTGGAGAACTTTCTGGGAAAGCCACAGCAGCGCACCCCTCAGGACAGCGGGATCCAAGCCCTGGAGAGGCGTCTTTTCTCCACCGCCCTCCTCACTTGGCTCCTCTTCCTTGTCACTGTCTCTTTCCTCCGCTTTCCTGCCTCCTAAGTCTTTTCTTTTAACCCTCCAATTTCATTTTCCCAATTGCCTCTCCACTGTTTACGTGTGAAATACGATCACTTAAATACATGAAGAAAAAGGCCAGGCGCGGTGGCTCACGCCTGTAATCTCAGCACTTCAGGAGGCCGAGGTTCCGGGGGTGGATCACTGGAGGTCACGAGTTCGAGACCAGCCTGGCCAACAAGGTGAAACCTCATCTCTACTAAAAATACAAAAATTGAGCTGGGCGCAGTGGTGGGTGCCTGTAATCTCAGCTGCCCCGGGAGCTGAGGCAGGAGAATCACTCGAACCCGGGAGGCAGAGGTTGCAGTGAGCCCCGATCATGCCACTGCACTCCAGCCTGGGCAACGAGAGCAAAACTCCATCTCACAAAAAAAACAAAACAAAAAGAAGAAAAAGTTACACCAAATCAATCAGCTGACTTTTACATCACTAAGCTAACTGTTCACTAAAGGAAAACTAAAATTGAAGAAACTTAACTTTGGTCAATAAAAACTAATCTAGTATCTGAATCAGAATTTTTAAAAAGTAAAACCTTCTCTCTGTTGAGTCAACCAGCCTATCTCAACAGCTCCTTAAGAGAATCACAGTTGGCCTTCCTTATCTGAGGGTTCTGCATATGCAGATTTCAGTAACAGCAGATCAAAAATGCTTGAAAATAAATTTTAACAAACGAATGCAATAAAAATACAAATGGAAAATAGAGTATAACAAGTATTTACAGAGCACTTACATTGTATTAGGTATTGTAAGGAAACTAGAGATGATTAAAGTACATGGGAGGATGTACACAGATTATTTGCAAATTTATTTGTTCTAACTGGACACACATTTTTATACCAAGGACTTGAGCATCCATGCATTTTTGGTAACCAAAAGGGTCCTGGAACCAATCTCCCATAAATACTAAGGGTGAACTCTACCCATAAAAAATAAATACAAGAGATATATAAAATAAAACTGAAAAGAAACTCTTCTATCTTAAATACTCTATATTAAAAATGACCAAAGCTCCTCCTTCACTCTTCAAAACCAACAGGTCCGTTTTCTTAAAAAGGGACAGTGACATAAAATTATTCAGTAAGGCGGGGTGTGGTGGCTCACGCCTGTAATCCCAGCAGTTTGGGAGGCCAAGGCGGGTGGATCACCTGAGATCAGGAGTTCGAGACCAGTGTGACCAACATGGAGAAACCCCGTCTCTATTAAAAATACAAAATTAGCCAGATGTGGTGGCACATGCCTGTAATCCCAGCTACTCGGGAGGCTGAGGCAGGAGAATTGCTTGAACCCGGGAGGCAGAGGTTGTGGTGGGCTGAGATCACGCCATTACACTCCAGCTTGGGCAACAAGAACGAAACTCTGTCTCAAAAAAAAAAAAAAAAAATTCAGTAAGAACCCAGCAACATCATGTAAGTGACAGCTAGTAATTTCAGTTGTAAGTTTAATGACAGTATCTGATTTGCTCTCCTAAGCAGCAAGCAGAGATCCTAAAATACAAATGAATATGCTCACGGATACAAGCAGACTGATATTTCTGAATCACCCCACATGCCTATATTCTACATAAATGGATTTCAATTAGTGAGATGAATGTGAAAGACAGTGCATTTCTTAACTCTTAGAAGTAAAACTGTTTGTGAAATTAAATTAAAACAATGAAATCCTAAAGATGAAGACTTGCTAGTCACTGCTAATGTATAGGTAATAAAACCTGACTTAAAATACTGTATTTTGAAAAACAAGTCAAAACTAGAAGCTCCTTGATGACAATGCAGTAAGGCCCACCTTAAGTACTTGTGGATAATCCATCTGTCTAGACACGCAGGACTTCAGCCTCCTCTACTGCCCCACAGAGAACATTTTAGACAATGCCTTAAACACTGAAATTCCATTCAGATCCAAACTCAGAAAGTGTTACATTAACAAAATCCAGTAAAACCTGATAACATAGTATAAATCATTTCAAAACACCCTTGGTAAATAGATCTGTATTTACAGAACCTCCTTGAACATATAATAGGTAATGATGCAATGAAGACATTTTTATAATATTTATTAAGATAACAAATTTATAAATTGAAAGACTCAGAGGCACATAGTTTAAAAGGCCAATACCATGGGAATAATGAAGTCAACACAGAAAAGTAAGAAGATATGAACAGTTACAACCAATACAAGATTTTCTTTAAAAGCCACATTCCCCTGGTGAACACATCACAGGAATCATCCTTCAAAATTACCATGATAAAAAGTCATTTCCTTCAAAGAAAAATAATTCTTTCCGCCTACCGAGCCTAGAAAATCCTATTTACAATCCTGTGTCCTGCCTTTCATCAGTATTATTTAACATGGTCTCCTCTATTCTGCCATTAGAAGTATGGAAAATTTTATAGCTACTGTATTTACAAATGCACATAATATTTAAATTTGCTCTTCATTGAGAACAACCGAATATATACTTAATCAAATCACAATACAAATGCTTTATAGTGTTGAAGACACATCTCATGGGGGAAAGGTATGTGGGAAGAGGTGTATTTAGAATTACGGTGTTTCTGAAGGATTACTAGGCCAATAATTCTGATAAAACTCAAGGTAGTCACAAAAACAGGTCTTTGTTGATGAAGAGTTTAATTTATTTCTGTTTTAACTGGACACACTGGACTTCTTCAGTCAACCTTCACCACACTGTATATTTTGGTAACAAACCAAAAGCATGCAAAGAAGCCAATTGTTCCTATAAGAGAAAAAATAAAAATAAACCCTTTTTCAAAGGAAGTGTCATACTTTACACAAAAATACAGACTTACAATGACTGGTTCCTTAAAAAAGTCCCAAAACTACAAACTATTACCCGCCAGGAATACATTACAGATCTATGAGCACGTCTGAAAAATATACGACCACATCAAGTTTCTTACAAAAACTGATAGAATTTTTTTCTACTCTAAGATTACCTAAGCTTTCTACAATACACATTATTTTCCTTACTACATAGAAAAGACTGAAGGATGTCAACTGTCCTTTCCTATTTAAGAATATTTTATAACAAAATGGAAAATGCTACTAGAATTTTTTAAGGTATGAGATGAATACATTAAAACAGGTTCAAATAATGATTAAATAATGATTAAATGGGGATATTTTCTAAGTACAGTTATTGGAAGTTATCAGTCTTCAAAGAATTATAATAAAGTAACTCAGTAAGTTTTTACATAATGTTAAAAGTGACATGATTAGGATAATAACAGAAATGCATCCCAGCTGAAAATGAGAGACAGTGTGGCAGCAGAGAACACAGCAGCTCTGTCATGAACTGTGTGTATCATCCTTGGGCAAGTCCACTGACATCTCCAAGCCCATTTACCATATTAACTAGAGAGAAATTGGTCTGTCCTCATTGCCTCCATAGACTGTTATGTAGAGTAAATGAGATAATTCATGAAAACAATGTATGGCTTGATTTTCAGGTATCAGTCGAGATTCCAAAGAATTTGAACGCTAGATGGGGACACACGGTTTTTTTTTGTTTTTTTTTTTTTTTAGTTAAGCAAAATTAGCTAATGTTTATTTTCATATATGAAAAAAACTCTACAGTCAAATCAGGTAGAGTTAGAACAGAAAATATGGTTTTATGATATAAAATACATTAATAATATTTATCATGAATAGCTAGGAGGATAGGATAGTCATAATTATCTCAGTACTGGGAAGACAGTTGATGATGAAGTATTCATTCCTGATAAAAACTCTTTTTTTTTTTTTTGCTGTCTCAAGAACTTTATTAATAGATCATTAAGTGTTTTTTTTTTTTTCATTTTTTAAATTATACTTTTAAGTTCTAGGGTACATGTGCACAACGTGCAGGTTTGTTACATATGTATACAAGTGCCATGTTGGTGTGCTGCACCCATTAACTCGTCATTTACATTAGGTATATCTCCTAATGCTATCCCTCCCCCTCCCCCCACACAACAGGCCCCGGTGTGTGATGTTCCCCATCCTGGGGACACTCTTTCAATGAGACAAAAATGAGGTTCAAAGGGGTTAAGTGACTGTCTCATGGTCACATGGATGGTATTTGTGGCCAGAATTCAAATGCGTTTTTTCTGACTTCAAGCATAGTACTCCTTCCACATGCACACATAAGGGGCTATAAATAGTCCTTGTATAAATTTTACACTTAAAGTCTCAATGGTTTTCACCATTGTTTTAAATGCAGTACTCAGAGACAATATTAAAGGAGATTTTCTAAATCAAGAGACTATACATGGGACATTACCGTGGGAAATTACAAACATCATTATATCCATCCTTACATTGTATATGTATTGAGGCCCTACTTTGTGAAAGGCACTGATGTGTGTTTTGGAGAACATACAAATATACCTTTTGCATACTCCAAAGGGTTATTATTCAGGCTAGGATTGGGGTTAACTTCAGAAAAGCAATAATGAAAACATCAATATATTTATATAACCTTGTACTTACTTGCATAAATTTCAAGATGACAAACAATATTTTAAGATGAGAAAAACATTTAATCACTATCCAGGCAATTCTAAGAAACTTAAGTTTAGTTACTTAACTTTGTTCTTTTTTTTTTGAGACGGAGTCTCGCTCTGTCGCCCAGGCTGGAGTGCAGTGGCGTGATCTCGCCTCACTGCAAGCTCCGCCTCCCAGGTTCACGCCATTCTCCTGCCTCAGCCTCCCGAGTAGCTGGGACTACAGGCGCCCGCCACCATGCCCAGCTAAATTTTTGTATTTTTAGTAGAGACGGGGTTTCACCGCCAGGATGGTCTCAATCTCCTGACCTCGTGATGCACTGTCTTGGCCTCCCAAAGTGCTGGGATTACAGGTGTGAGCCACCGCGCCCAGCCAATTTTGTTCTTAATATGGAATATATGTACATACTAAAAGTGGCTTCTTTCCTTTTGTGACAGAATAATTACTTCTGTTTTGTAAAATGGATTGACATAAATACAGTAAAATGGCATTGCTTTGGAGTTCTGAAGCAAATACAGACCATACCCTATTTTAGAGAAAGGTAAGGCATTTAAAGGGCTCACTACTCCCTTATCCAGAACCCTTCCACCTGTTCACTAAAGGAAAAATAAAATTGAAGAAAGTGAGACACACTATAAGTCACTGGTTTAACTGGTTGGTTCAATTGGGATGTGGCTCCATAATTCAGATTACAAAACTCAACTCTGAATGAATGAAAATGTAACACTTTAAAAATCAAACTCAGCCAGGTGCAGTGCCTCACGCCTATAATCCAAGCACTTTGGGAGGCCAAGGTGGGCAGATCATCTGAGGTCAGGGGTTCGAGACCAGCCTGGCCAACATGGTGAAACTCTATCTCTACTAAAAATACAAAAATTAGCCAGGCGTGGTGGTCACGCACCTCTAATCCCAGCTACACGGGAGACTGAGGCAGGAGAATCACTCGAACCTGGGAGGCAGAGGTTGCAGTGAGCCGAGATTGCACCACTGCACTCCAGCCTGGGTGACAAGAGCAAGACTCCACTTCAAAAAAAAAAAATCAACATCAATAAAATTTAGGTGATGGTTAAGCTATCATTTTCTGTATGATATGCCTGGAAAAACAACAGATTTTCATAGTGATCATTAGTTTTTGTGTGTAGGCTAGGAATAAATTATTCTCTATATGCATTTATGGACACACAGGGCACAAAAATAGTTATTCCTTGTTTCACTGGCTACTGCTATTTTATAGATGATTTATTAAAATTTACAGCTCTGCACCTAAATCTATCACGTAGCACCAAGACACGCACCCCACCATGTCTGATCAATGACCTGGAATACAGAATCGATGTAAGTGCCTTAAACTTGAGACAGCAGCACAGACGCTTCAAAACCCGACTCCAGGCTCTGACATGCCAACAGATGAGTGAAAAGCAGAACAGGTTTAATTGGGGAAAAAAAAAAATTTTTTTTTCTTTTTGGCTCCTGTATTTTCTTCCATAACATGCATGATGAGCTAAAATTTCAGATGCACACTTTGTGCAGTATTACTTGTGACAAAGAAAGGTGCTATAATTCTTTTTTTAAGTTCAGTCACTCACGCCACAAATGTTTACCAAGCACCCTGGGCTCTGAGATACAGAAAACCTTTATCTAGTTAAGATAGAGAAGATATATATACATACAAAATTAATACCAATATAATACACACTATATCCTATTCAGTGCTTGAATTTTAAAGTGGAGATAAAATCTTCTAGATTAAGGAATGTCCCATTATCTTTCCTTGATATCCCCGACCTACTCTCAGTCTCATCTTGACTTCACCTCCTCAGTTTCTACTTAGTCCTAAACTTAAGTCACTATAGCTTCTACCCCATTTCTGAAGTGGGGAAAAAAAAAAAAAAAAGACTGTGTGTACCTTTAAGAGGTTAACAGAGGAAAACCATGAGCTGTACTGGCCCACGTGTCCCTGAACTTTTACCACAACTATGACCCTGTTTAGCCTTCTTCTCCCGGCTTCTGTTTCATCATCTTTATGCAACTCACAGGTGGGCAGACCAAACTATGCCTAGTTGAGAGGAGGACTAAATACAGGAGCACTAACAGAATAAGCCTTCATGAGTTTTAAAAAAGATAAACATTTATAAATTATTTGTCTAAAAACTTACAAAATAAAAATAATCACTTAAATTCTAATTTTACCTGTAAAAAGAAAGAAGATCAAAACCATTATCATGGTATAACCAAAGTACAGAATTGTGCTTGCTGTTCCTGTGATCTGCAGTTTTGAAAAGAAGTAATGTATTGCATATATTAAGAAATAAACTGCAGTAAAGCCGCTGGTAAGGAATGAACGCCATTGCCAATGATAATCCTAGGTAGTAAAGAAAAAAGAACAAGAATTACATTCCAATTAATAGATAAGATGTAGTTAACTAAGGTTCAAAGCAAGCATAATAAATGAGACAGCCCCCAATCTAATTTCTGCTATCAGTTCCAGGCTCTTTCTCCTATTGAACTTCACCCATTCCTCTCTCCTCACTAAAGGTGCTAAGAAGTGCCCATTGTCTTTGGTGCGACTGCTTAAAAACTGGCTAAAAATGTTTGGAAGCAGCTTAAACTGTTTATGAATAATAAAGCATTAGGTTGTATTTCAAAATTTATTCTTCCCAAAGAAAACCAATGTACAAATAGCTTACAGCTTACTTACAGGGTTTGACATTAATATTATATTAAAGTCTGGTCAACTCTGTATTAAGAAGAAGATTATTCTATTCAGGCCTGGTTGGAATCCAATTTCACTTATTACTAACATAATTTAAACAAGGCAGATGATTAAAATAGCTCTTCTTGCTTTTAAGTGGCTTATAGCTTAATAGAAGATCTTTTAAAAGAGAACACTTCACTATCTCTCTTGCCCTTTGGAATATGTGAAAAATAAATACATTCAAAAAGCAAACTGAGATTAGAAAACCCTAAAAATACACACATGCACACGCGCGCACACACACACAAAATGCAACAGCTAATCAATAAATGCAACAGGTAATCAACAAATGCAGCAAAATTGCAGGGTAAAAGATCAACATACAAAAGTTGGTTGTGTTTTTACACACCAGCAATGAGTAATCTGAGAAGGAAATTAAAAAACCCAATTCCATTTAAAATAGCACCCAAAAGAATAAAATACCTAGGAATAAATTCAACCAAGGAAGTGGAAGACTTGCACAATGAAAACTCTAAAATTCTGCTGAAAGAAATGACAGAAGACCTAGGCAAATGGAAAGACATCCCGTGTTTATGTACTGTTAGACTAAACATTGTTAAGACAGCAATACTCTTCAAAATGATCTACAGATCCAATGTAATACCTGTCACAATTCCAATAATCCAACAATTCAATTTCTGCAGATATGGAAAAGTTAATCCTCCAATTCAAATGGAATTGCAAGGGGCTCCAAATAGTCAAAACAATCTTAAAAAAGAACAAAGCTGGAGGACTCAGTCTTTTTTATTTCAAAACTTACTACAAAGCCATAGTAATCAAAGTAGTGTGGTACAGGCCTAAGGAAAGCATATAGATCACTGGAATAGCATTGAGAGTCCAGAAATAAACCCATACATCTATGGTCAATTGATTTTTGACAAGGTTGCCAAGACCATTAAATAAGGAAAGAACAGCCTGTTCAACAAATGGTGCTGGATAACTGGATATCCATATGTCAAATAATGTAGCTGGACACTACATCACACAAAATACAAAAGCTAACTCAAAATGGATCAAGAACTTAAACACATGAGGTAAAGCTATAAATCTCAGAAGAAAATATGGGGGTAAATCTTCATAACCTCGAATTTGGCAATAATTCTTTTTTTTTTGGTGGGGGGAGGGGGACAGGGTCTCACTCTGCCACCCCGGTTCTGGAGTGCAGTGGTGCAATCATGGCTCACTGAAGCCTAGACCTCCTGGGCTCAAGTGATCTGTCCACCTCAGCCTCCCAAGTAAGCCACCACACTCAGCTAATTTTGTTATTTTTTTTTTTTTTTTTTTTTGAGACGGAGTCCGCTCTGTCGCCCAGGCTGGAGTGCAGTGGCCGGATCTCAGCTCACTGCAAGCTCCGCCTCCCGGGTTCCCGCCATTCTCCGGCCTCAGCCTCCCGAGTAGCTGGGACTACAGGCACCCGCCACCTCGCCCGGCTAGTTTTTTGTATTTTTAGTAGAGACGGGGTTTCACCGTGTTAGCCAGGATGGTCTCGATCTCCTGACTTTGTGATCCGCCGGTCTCGGCCTCCCAAAGTGCTGGGATTACAGGCTTGAGCCACCGCGCCTGGCCTAATTTTGTTATTTTTTATAGAGACAAGATCTCACTATGTTGCCCAGACTGGTCTCAAACTCCTGGGCTCAAGCGATCCTCCCGCCTCAGCCTTCCAAAGTGTTGGGATTACAGATAGGCGTGAACCACCATACTCAGCCCTAGTTTGACAATCATTCTTAGATATGACACCAAAAGCATAAGCAACAGAAGAAAAAAAATAGATAAATCTGACTTCATCAAAATTTAAAACTTCTGTGCAAAGGACATTATCAAGAAAGTGAAAAGGATAACCTATAGAACCAGAACTGCAAATAACAATCTAATAAAGATCTACTATCCAGAATAAATAAATAAACTCTTACAACTCAACAAAAAGACAAATTTAAAAATAGGCAAAGGACTTGAATGGCTATTTCCCCAAAGAAGAAATACAAATGGCTAACAAACACAAGTACAAATGCTCATCATTAGTCACTGCAGAAATGCAAATCAAAACCAGAATGAGACACCGCTTCACACCCACGAGGACAGCTACAATTTTTTCAAAAATGGAAGGTAAGTGTTGGCAAAGATGTGGAGAATTAGAACCTTTGTACATTGCTGGTGGGAATGTAAAATGGCACAACCACTGTGGAAAAGTTTGGTAGTTCCTTAAAAAATTGAACAGAACTACCACATGACCCAGTGATTCCACTCCTAGATATATACCTCAAAACCAAAAACAGGTACGCAAATGAACACTTGTACATGAATGTTCACAGCAGCACTATTCACAACAGCCAAAAAGTAGAAACAATACAAATGCCCATCAATGGACAAATGGATAAACAAATTTATCATTCTGCCATAAAAAGGAATGAAGTGGCCGGGTGCGGTGGTTCACACCTGTAATCCCAGCACTTTGGGAGGCCGAGGCGGTGGATCACAAGGTCAGGAGATCCAGACCATCCTGGCTAACATGGTGAAACCCCGCCTCTACTAAAAATACAAAAAAATTAGCCGGGAATAGTGGCGGGTGCCTGTAGTCCCAGCTACTCGGGAGGGTGAGGCAGGAAAATGGCGTGAACCCGGGAGGCAGAGCTTGCAGTGAGCCGAGATCATGCCACTGCACTCCAGCCTGGGCGACAGAGTGAGACTCCGTCTCAAAAAAAACAAAAAAAGAAAGGAATGAAGTACTACTATACATACCACAATATGATGAACCCTGAAAACATGCTAAGTCAAAGAAGCCACACACAAAAGGTCACATATTATATGATTCAATTTATAAGAAATGTCTGAACAGGCAAAACAGACAGAAAGCAGACTGTTGGTTGCTAAGGCCTAGGGGAAGCGAGGAATGAGGAGTAACTGCTTAGCAAGTATAGGGCTTTAATTAGGGGTGATAAAAATATTTTGGAACTAAACAGAGGTGGTGGTAGCACAACACTGTAAATGTTGTAAGTGCCATTAAACTGTCCACTTCAAAATGGTTCATTTTCTGTTATGTAAATTTAACCTCAATTTTTTGAATAACATACCAAGTTTAATAAAGTTAGATTTTTCTCCAACATAGACAATACATATTAAATAATAGATTTAACACAACCTAAATCTTTAAAATTCAATTCTACTATTACATAAGGATACTATCATTTTGGTGCTGCCATGAAGAGAACTTATTACAATGTGATTATAGAAACTTTTTAATGAATTTTCTTACTAGTTTACTTCTATTAAATGTTCAGTCTAAATTTGTTTTTAATATATTATTTTATATTCTTTTATCTCAGGCATGATATATATATTTATATCACAAGAGTATTAATTTTTAAGTTGGTTAAAAAACAACAGTGAAAAGTTAGCACAACTTACTATTTCTGGAAAATTAACATGTTAAAGTCTCTAATAGTAATCTCTAACTAAATACACTGAACCGGGATATCTTAATCCTAAAGAAGGTTGCATTTGATTTAGGAATATAGGTCAATGTCTATCATAATAAACATACATCTACAGAAATTATTTTAATAATATACAAATTGCAATATGCCAAAGTTATAAATACTGTCTACAAATTAACATAAGTGAATACTGCTAATACATACCTCTGCACATAGGTGGAAATAGCAAAGAAGTATAGTTGCTTCAGAACAGGTAATAACCAAAATGATAAACACCAGAAATAGGAAGCCAAACATGTAATACATCTGGTGTGACCTGTAATCAAACACGTCAAGATGAAACTACACATATTTTCAATTTGACACCGCACATAACACAATCTTTTCATTCTTCTTGAACTGAAAAGGTTTGCTTTTTCTCTCAACTAACCGAACAAGACGAATTATCACAGGTTGGGATGGTGATGGGGTGGCGAAGGGGAGGAGTAGGAAGGATATGTCAGTGTCACTGGACTTTACCTTCCTGCTCAGGGGGGCCTGAAACTTCTACTTGTTCACATATGGCTAGTCTACTCATCTCCTGGTGAGCCAGACATATTTGATAAACACTGACTGAAAAGACAGAGCCAACTAAGAATAGGTAACCGTTTCTTATCACATATAATAAAACCAGTTGAATTTGGAAAATTAATATAACAATTGAGAAGGAAAGATATGTTCCAATCACCAAAAAGCTCAAATTTAGTTCTAATTTTCTGTAACTTCCAACCTTGGTACTTTCTGTAACATATGTCAGTGTGATCCACTAACAATCATGATATAACACTATATATATACACACACACGGAATGGCTCAAAATGACTATTATGAGTTTTTACATGTGAACAAGGAATCGGAGAATGAAGGCATCTGAGAATTGGAAAGGACTCTGCAGGTCATCTAGACCAATCCCTTCATCAATCCCCTCCAACAAGTGCTCAGAGGATCTTCTCTGGAGCAGTGCAGGTTAGTTAGGAACACAGGTTTGGAGAAACTTCGGTGAATTCTCTGTCACAGGGTTGCTGTGTAACAAGGCAAATTACTCAACTTACAAAGCCTCATTTACATCTCTGTAAAATGGGGCTAACACTCACCTCACAGAGTTCTGAGAATGAAGTAATAAGAATTAAGGAAGAGTAAGAATTAACAAGCCTTCAATTCATATGATACTAACTGTTATCACTACTGTTCTTCTTCCCACATAGAAAAGATAAAAATAAGCTTTTGGCTTTTAAGATTTCTGGTTACTGAAGAACTGTCTACATTTATAGGATACAAATAGTAACCCATAAAAACAAACAAAAAGCAAATATTACATATAACGGTAATAAGAATGAGAAGACTTTGTCCTTAGCTTACCAAATACTATTCAGAATGAAGAAAAGCTGTATAAAGATGCAGCCAAAGGGCAAAATCCCTCCCATGACAATACCAGGCAAGGGCTTTGTGTAGAACGACTGTTCAGGAATCTGACGTGGAATCTGATTGGTTCGAACTGGGTGTTCAATGGCCTTCAGTAAAGAAAGGAAGGAAGAATTCATAATTACGTATCTGTCTTAAACATTCTTCTCTGCACAAGATTATTTGCCGGCTTTTTTCCAGCTTCCATGCTGTCACTAATGGCAATAAAGTCTACTTAAGACATCAAATTGAAATTTGTCTTTAGAAGCCATCAACCAGGTACCATCAGGTACAGTACTCGGTCTGTCTACTGGAACAAGTTAATACTGTCTCCAGCAGTGATCCACTGACTAACGGCTTCAGACACAGGAAGAAGTACACAGGAGATAAGAGAATACTTGGAAAATAATAGTTAATAAAAAGGTAGAGTTAGGCTTTTCATTTTCATTACCTATGTACTGTAAGAAATCAGCTGGTTCTGCAATTTTGGTCAATGTATTTTTATTTGGAGGTGGGCAATGTCATCTTTATTAAAATTGCTCAATTTTACTAAGACTTAAGAACATGAAGACAACAACGAATGGCTGTATGAACCTTTACGACCATAAGGAGTTGGTGATGTTCTCAACTATTCTCCCTTTCATGACACTACATGGTGGTATGAAAATCACTGGAACCTGAAGTACACAAGCAGCCACGTGAGAGGGGAAAAGAGTACAGATGTAGAAATTCATTTTCTTGTAAAAAAGTTCAAAAATATCCTTCTATAGTTTTTGTGATGATAAATCAAAATTTAAAACTTGGTATTTTCATTCAGACCATACTTCCGCAGACTAGATTATTATTTTACATGTAGATACATGAGCATACAGGCAGAGAATCATGTATATCATTCTCCAATACTTACATTTTAAACTTTTATTTATTTCCCACGCTGATATTAAACAGAAATATTATAAACTTCAAACCAGCAAAGTTTTGGAATTTCAAGTAATTATTTAATCAATGTAATTAAAAAATTCAAACCCTGTCAGTTCACTACTTCTGAGGTATAAAGTCATAAATTAAACAAAATGCCAAAGTTGTTTAAAAAAATCCTTCAGCAGCTAGGCATGAAAGTGCAGTGGAGGCTGTGGAACAAGTACCAGCTTCTGCCAGGGCCTTCCGGGTCCTGCTCACAAAGTGTACTAAACACACAGTCTTTCTTTTACCCTGTGGACTTGATATTTTCAGAGAAGGACAGGGATACTGAAGTGTGGTTAAAGAAGGATACTGGTAAGACGGAAGAATTAATATTTCATTTTTTTTCCCTTTTAGCCTGAGGGCAGAAGTGGGCAGCAAAGTGAGAGAAGGCCAACTGGAGGCTGAGAGAGAAACCAGAGGAACGACTGAAACCTGATTATGATCTTCCTTAAAATCCAATATTAGCAGGGAAGCAGATACAATTTATTTCAAGTAGATACAATTTATTTCAAAGCTACATATCAATCACAAACATTTGCTACTCTTACTCTGCAGCCACTTTTCTTATAGTGACTTCTTAACCCACCCTCTCTGCTTACTTAGTTAAGCTTTGTGCATTCTGGGATGCCAAGGGAGGTGGATCACCTGAGGTCAGGAGTTAGAGACCAGCCTGGCCAACATGGTGAAACCTTGTCTCTACTAAAAATACAAAAATTAGCTGGGTGTGGTAGCACATGCCTGTAATCCCAGCTACTCGGGAGGCTGAGGCAGGAAAATCACTTTAACCCAGGAGGTGGAGGTTGCAGTGAGCCGAGATGGTGCCACTGCACTCCAGCCTGGGTGACAGAATGAGACTCCATCTCTAAATAAATAAATAAATAAATAAATAAATAAATGTTTTCATTAGTTTATATTAGCATTTCTTTCCCAATTAATCTATATTAGCTTCTATTTACTTAAAAAACTTTGAAACCTAAGTTTAGATCTGTAACCTCTCTACCACGCTCCTAAATAATACTACTATTTTTAAAATATTCTATGAAATCCAGATCCTAAAGGACAAGTTTACATCTTTACACACTTCTATGATATCTTTTGAGATGGCATATGCTAATTTCTGTAGTTAAAATTCACCTAAGTTAACACCTATATACTTACATTCTTCTTAAAACCAAAGTATGCACCAATAAACGTCAGAGGCACAGATATGCAGAACCAAAGGGCCAATATGGCAACCAATGTCCCAAAAGGAATAGCCGCTGAAGATCCTTCTCCCCAGAGGATCAGATTCATTATAAAGAAGTCAGCAAAGACAATCCTGAAAGACACAACAGGCTTTTGGGTAAAACCAGAGATAACAAAATGCAACAGTAGTATGCAATGAATAGTACAACTTCTATGTTTCTAAAATATATATACAAAGAAAGTGGAATTGCTGCATCACAGGATGTGTGAATGTAAAACCTGACTGGAAACTACCCAATTGCTCTTCAGATTGGGTTTGCCTGACTTAAACTCCTACTAGCAGCCCATGAAAGTCAGTTCTTTACATATTTTCATTACACTTGCAACTGTCAATTCTGTTGTTTTAATTTGTATTTCCTATTGAAAACTGCAGCAAGTGTCTGGTGTTTGCTGGCTTTTTTGGTTTTACCTTCTGTGACGGGCTGCTGACATCCACTGCTCGGTTTTCACTTGGCCTGCATGTCTTGCCAAGTCATGTATGTGAGTTATTTACATACTCTACTTACTAATTCCTTGTTAAATGTCTTGTTGTCACAGTCTGTGGCTTTTTCTGAACCCAAACATCTAAATGTGTGTAGTTAATTTCCGTTAGGTCTTTCTTCTGAATACATTTTAAAAAATATGGTTGTAATCATACAATAATCACTGTACTTACCCCACACAGTTTTTAAGTGCAACCACTTTCCCCTTTATCCTTTGTGCACTCTGCTTAAGAGAAGAAAGCCTTCTCTAACCTGGGATCATGAAGCTGCTCTTCCATATTTTCACACAGTAGTTACGCCTGGTGCATTTAGGTTTGACTCCACCTAGAACTGACGACTTTCTCCCTTCATGAAGAGAATCAGTTGTCCCAGCATCACTTATCTAACAGTTCCTCTGGCTCAGGGTGCCACATCTAGCAAGCTGCTATGGATACAGGGCCTACTTCTGTATTCTCCATCCCAGCAGCCACTGGACTCTCTAAACACCTTCACGGTACTTGATCTTTTCATCAAGAAACATGGTGAATTTCCATCTCTTTCGAGTTAATAACCTTGTAGGCCTCTCATATGGATTGTGCATACTTTGAGAGGTTATTTTAGGCGCTGTATAGGTTTTCTGTGAATACAGCCCTCTTCCAGCACAACTACCACTACCATTAAAACATTTAACTGGCTAATGGTGATATTTAAGATCTTGGAAAATTAGCTGATACCTAGCCATTCTGCCAAACTCTTTTTATTAATTCTACAAGTTTTACAGTTAAAATTTGTTAGTGTTCTTTGTATATAAATAATGTCATCTATAAATAATAAGATGAAATCTACCTTTTTGTTTCCTCCTTTACTAGGAACAGAACTTAAATAACAAGTCATGAAAGAGATTTACTGAGAATGTCCCTAATGTTTTATTATCAGTGATGCTGGTTCTGAATTACAGATAAGATTCTTTTTAATACAATGAAACATTTCTTTATTAAATTTTTTTAAAACCTGAAAACAATGCTCAATATTATCAAAGGCCATTTTACTGCATCTGTTGCAGTAATTATATGCAGGTGTTTATTTATGTAGAATTATATGACTAGATTTCCTGTTATTAAATGATCTTTCTATTCCTAGGTGAACACCAAGTCCCCCTGCCCCTGAATACTTGAGTTCTTAGCACGCTCTATTTACCTGCTGGTAAACACCTACTGTTAAGAGTAGGATGAAGAATATCAATCAGAGAAGGGTTGATCAGAGACATAAAAGAAGAACCAGCACAGGAAAATTTTTATGAAGCCAAAAAAGGAAGGAGTTTCAAGGAGAAAGTATTCCAATGTTAGACAACACAGAGAAGCAGAGAGAAAATGGTTTCTAGATTTGAAAATGGCAAACTTAAAAGTTTCAGTAAAATGATGTAAAAAAATATGAATGACGTGGATTTACACTGCAAATGTTTACTGAGAAAATGAGAAAAAAGGAGTATAGACTATTTTTTTCAAGGCATTTTGTTGGGAATAGAAAAGAAATGAGAAAGAAATAAGAGGAGAAGATGCTTATGATCCCTTTTTAGGGGAGACATGAGCATATCTGGAGGAATAAAAGAACCACATAAGCAGAACATATGAGAACGGGGCAATGGAAGATGAAAAGCAAGATTCGGAGATTCTGCAGGAAATCACAGTCTTGGTAAAGAAGGACGCCTTCATGAGTTGACAGAGGGAAAGAAAACAAAGGACATGGCTTGAGAAAAGCACAGACATTTGAATAGAACCCATAACCGAGAAGACTGAATCTTCGGTGGGGGTGATAGAACATTTATCCCAAACGTGTATTAAGATGCTGCTGCCATCACGCTTGCATCTCTAGCCTGCAAATGGACCAGTTCTGGTTTCTAGACTGCATCATCTTTGGCTTTCTTTATTGCTGTAGCCTGTTCACATGTCAGTTCTCACCCACCAGAAAAGTGCAGGCTTGGGAGGAAGTGGGTTCTGTTTCTAGGACCAGAACCACATCAGATAACTGAGAGGAGGAGCCGTTCCAGAGAGTGAAGGATTTTTGTTTTGTTTGGATTTGTGGAGGCTGTTTATTTTCTATTTTTGGCGTATATTTGTTTATTTAATGAAATAAACTCTAAAAAGCAGCAATGCTTTGGATAGAAACAGGAAAACATATGCTTGCCTCAACTATCTTCAGGTGCGGATTCCTTCCGTGACTGGGTCAAAAGCTTTAAATACAGCCCTACAGAACAACATGTCAGACTGACCACTAACAACCAAGAAATAGAAAGACTTTGAAGAGAAGGAATTAAAACATTTCTCATGTCTAAAGGTACTTTCCCCAGATAAGACACGTGGTAATCATTTGGCAAATGTTTATAAAGTACTTATTTTAACCCTTTTCAAAAATTAACTTTACTTTCTTAGGTACATGATTTAGAGACACAGAGGATTAAAGACTCAAGGACTGAAAATTTGGGGACTAACATGTAACTATGTTAAGAAAGTAATTCTTGAAAAATTCACTTACCCAGGACAAAGAAATGATGTTAATAAAACATTTGTTTTCCACTTCTCACCTCCAAAGGCTATAGAAGAAAACAAGAGTGGTATAAATACAGATTTTTCTTTAAAGCAAACCAAATATCCATATTACAAGTCTGATATTTGCCAAACTGTCAGATAGCACTGAGTACTCATTCCTAGAAAATGGTACTACCAAATATGATGTGATATTCCCTTATTAAATCATCCAAATCCGAGATATACAGCATGGGATTCCCTAGGTAAGTTCTGCTCCAGAGAATCAGAGGCAAGTCATCAAGATCAGTTCTTCTTTCCCCCTCACAATCAAAAGAATTCTTAAATCCTGAGCCAGTACCAATCAATGGGCCTATGTACAAGAAGGGCACACAGGACTCTCACTTATCTTGCAGTCAGTTTCAGAATTTGTTATAAAACTAGGAACCGTCAAGCCTGATGTGCAACACATTTACATTTCCACAGCAGGCCGACTCTTCCTCTAGCACTGTGGCTTCTAGGAGGAACTGTGGTTCCTAGGAGATGCGTGTGTCAGGTGAGGCAACTAAGAAGAGTAGAAGGGTTATGACCATTCGACAGAACATGTTTGCTAATATATGTTTTACTCTCCTTTGCCTCTCTCCAATTTGTTTTTTCCAGTTTAAAAAATTCAAATACTGAAGTAGCTAGAGTGAAAAATGAAAGTATACCCCTGCTCCCAGTTTAAAAGTCAGAAATGAAACTGGCTGAGATCTCAGAACAGCTGTGAATTTTAAAAAAGTTTTAACATAGTTCATTGGCAAGTTTAAGCATCACTTCCCCTAAAAGAAAATAATGAAATTTTATATACACATAAAATCATATATATGTATCATGATTTGAATTCACAGTGTTTCTGATAAACAGACTGTTATGAAATGATTAATTCTGGGTTTACTACAATTCCAGTCAAAATTCAGGTAATACACGATCTGCAGCTGGGAGACCTGAAGGATGGGGAGGCATTAGTGAGAGGAGCGTGGATGGGAGTGGGATGTGGGAAGGCAGGCAGCCTGGCCGAGGAACCCACAGAAAGTCAGTGTGGCTGAAATGGTGAGAAAGGGGGAGTGTGGCATGAAGTAAGGCTGGTGTGGCAGGCAAAGGGCTGACTGTATTTTGTATGCATTAAAATCCATATGATGACCCTAATCCTATCTTCTTTAGTAAAGGGGAAGAAAGAACTTGATAAAATTCACAGAAATTAAAACACACTTAAAACACACATACATACAGGGCTTTACATACTCAAGAGAGAACTGTGTCTGACAAGGTCTAAGTTAATCTTCTACCTGGGGCTGAAACTACCCAACTCCACCTTCAGGTCGTCCATGTAACTCTACTGTGTTTCACCTCAAAAGTTTTCCATATTGCTAGACCGTGGGGAATCACTGTATATCCCAGACAAGACTGTGGCATTCCCGAGGAGGCCAGCTCTGGTCCCTGCTGACCCTGTCAGTTGCTTTCTAAGCCATCCAGTCCCATCTCAGCCTTACTCTGTGGCCCTGACCCTTTTTTATTTCATTGAACTTTATTTTACTTCTAGAAAGCAAGAACACAAGAGATTGTGACTAATGCAATTACAAAAGTAACTTTCCAGCTCTCCAAAATAGTGAGATCTTTGTTTACTTGAAACTGTTTATTTTTATAAATATTAAATTGATACAATGTAAGTACAACTTCTCATAGGTAAGAAAAGGTACACCTAGATATACTACTTGTTTTAGTGAAAAAAATCAGTGATACTCATTTGTATACTTTTCTCCTTTATTAGTCTATATGTGCGTTTATGAACACAGCATATCTAAGTTCAGCCCAACCTGTTAAGCCAAAGCTCAAAGAAAAAAAGAGGGAGGTGATAGTGGGTAAGTGGCACAATTTGCTTGTTTCACAAACATTTTCGAACAAATAAATCTTGGGATAGTCACTCATGTCACAAAAGGAATCACCAAGGAGGCTCATTGTAACTAAGAACCCCTGTGAGGCACACTATTTTCAGAGCATCACCATCTGATACCCAGGTCAGACCCATAGCTGCGGCAGAGTCCCTTCCTGATCAGACGCCAGTCACGGTGGCTTTGACTTACACTTATAGAATCTGGCAGCAACATAGCCTGCAGGGGTGCCCAGCAGCACCCACAGGACCACAGCACACGTCATCAGTGCTCCTCGGTTGGCAGGTGACAAAAATCCCAGGCAAGCGAAAACTAAAACACAAATCATGAAAGGTTGTACATGTTATTACTGTTTCCTTTGCTGTGAAATGATAGAGAAACCCTGTCATTTTTCAAACAAGAAAAAAACACAACTTCATGAAAAACCATGTGCTCTCGTACCACGCAGCTCTACTCAATTTTAGTAATATTTAATGTACTGCACCAATCTGATCACAGATGAGGCAAACTTCACTTCGGAAGTTTCTTGTGGGAGTCTAGAAGACCTCATCCTTCCTGTGATCAGACTGGACGCTCAACAGTGCATTTGGCTCTTCTGAGATTCAAGTACAGCCTTTAAAATTAACATAAATGAAAATGTTTCCACTATGAAATATTCCCACTTTTCTTTCATTAAAAATATAGGGGTCCTCTGGGGGTAAAAAAAAAAACAAACCCAAAACCTTACAACATTCAAACATAAGAGACATACAGAATCTAATCAAAGAACAAAATGAGGGAGAAAGATTTCATAGGACCATTAGCTTTTCACAAATTACTGCAGGACTTGGTCAGCAATGCGGGGAAACCCTGGCCCTACCTTATTCATGTGGTTAGCTTTGTTTGCTCTTCCCCATATAAGCCTTCCTACTAACGAGAATTAAAACGCTATATTATATTCATAGAAATTCCCAGCTTTAAGCTGGGGCTCAGAAGTTATAAGGTGCTCAGAATCCCAAGACAAGTAGGATACTGCCGAGAAGAGTTTCAGGTGGCTTTCTAAACCCAGCAGCAAGAAAATCCCCATTGTTTCCCCCAAAACACACATGACCAAGCACCTATGTGAGCAAGCATGCACACACACCTCTGATGAGCACCAGAGTCATGATCAGCAGGAAACACATCAGGGTAGCTTTAGAAGATGTACCAGGATTTCAGTTAAGATGCAACCCCTTTCTCCTCCCCTACCTGAAAAATGGACTGCCCTTCAGCAGAAAGTTCCTATTTGAGGACTCAAGGAAAATGATTCCCATCGTATTCTATCCTAGATTCTCTGAAACTTTCCTTCCTTAAAAGTTCATTTTTCTAGCTGACCCCAATAAAGACCAGAGCGTCGCAGAAGGCAGCTCCTAATAAGATTTGAAAGCAGAAGTTGGCCGGGTGTGGTGGCTCACACCTGTAACCCCAGCACTTTGGGAGGCCGAGCCGGGTGGATCACGAGGTTGATAGATGGAGACCATCCCGGCCAACATGGTGAAACCCTGTCTCTATTAAAAATACAAAAATCAGCAGGTGTGGTGGCAGGTGCCTATAATCCCAGCTACTCAGAGGCTGAGGCAGGAGAATTGCTTGAACCAGGGAGGCGGAGATTGCAGTGAGCCAAGGTCGTGCCACTGCACTCCAGCCTGGTGACAGAGCGAGGTTCCGTCTCAAAAAAAAAAAAAAAGAAAGAAAGAAAGCAAGCGGAAGTTTATCTTCAAGTATTCATTCTGCTCTAAGTCTAGTTTGGCTCTCTGTCATCCAGTGACTTCACCCTACCCTCTGTCCAAACCTTTTTTATGACACCTTTTCCTGACCTATCCTCTTTAGAATGACTTACTTCTTTTTAGTATGACATAGTTACAAATTCTAGCTCTACCTATCAAAGTTGTATCTCCTTAAGTTGTTAGATTAAAAAAAGAGATGTTCTAATCAGTCTTCAAATTGAGCCTGAAGGTGTGAGTCAGTGGTTCCCAAACTTATTCAGTGCCAGACATTTGGAAATGATACTGCTCTTTGCAAAGCATTTATATAATTAATTTTATCATAAAAATTTGGAAAAACTTTACTAACAAAAACCACTATAGTATTATGTATTTAATATGTAATCAACATAAAAAATAAACGTTTACTAAAAAATTATTAAAAGTTTATGAATTCTCCCAGTATATTCATTTGTTGCTATTTATCAGTAGTAGGCATCAATAAAGTAAAATACATTAAAAACGGTAAAATTTGGAAAATTCTATTCATAAACATTTTTTCTCTTCCAATTAAGAAAACCGGAAGACAGTGGAATTAAGTATACACAGAGGTAGTTTCAGAACAACCCCTGGGGCTATCAATACCTCTAAGGAACATCTATTTAAAAAAAAAAAAAAGAGGATTGTCCTAGTTGGCAAAAATTTAAATACAATTTCTGAAGTTGTTGAGGTAGCTCAAAAATACTCTTTTTATGGAGGAAGGAAGGTCTTTTCTACACACTCGCTTTCTCTAGAGAAGGAGATCCTGCTTCCTAAATCCTCTCCAGGTGAGAAGGGTCTACACAGTGCTTCCTTCTCCATCCCCTCTTTTCCCACCCTCCTCCCTCTGTAGAAGCCAAGAATATCCTGGAACCCTAACCAGACTGTGCCTGCCCACGATGGCTGGGTAAAAGAGACCCTAAATGGTCCTGGTTCTGGGCTGTTTGGACTCAGATGCTGATGGTCTTAAGGACCTGTTCATCTCCAGTCCAGTGCTTTCCTGACAAAGGTTTGGTCTAGGAAGAGCTGAAGGGAGAAACCAAGAGTCAGTCTTTGGGTGCAGCTAACCCTGCCCCAAGTCACTTAGATTTTGAGAACCTAAAGGACTCTCAGAAACAATCTGGCTTACCTACCCACTTAGAAAACCTGTGGGGTTTTTTTTTCTTTTTTTTTTTTTTTTTGTGAGATGGAGTCTTGCACTGTTGCCTGGGCTGGAGTGCAGTGGCGCAATCTCAGTTCACTGCAACCTCCACCTCCCAAGTTCAAGCGACTCTCCTGCCTCAGCCCCTCAAGTAGCTGGGATTACAGGCACCTGCCACCATGCCCAGCTAATTTTTTTTGTATTTTTAGTAGAGACGGGGTTTCACTATATTGGCCAGGGTGGTCTTGAACTCCTGACCTTGTCATCCACCCGCCTTGGCCTCCCAAAGTGCTGGGGTTACAGGCATGAACTACGCACCCGGCCAGAAAAACTTCAGTTAACACTTACATAGAGTCACAAAGGTCATAATTAAAATCTGTGTCCCAGATCCTAGAAAGACTGATAGCAGCATCCCTTTTCTTGGAGGACGGAATATATCACCATGAACAAGTTTCCAGCCAAATTCTTCCTGGGCATCTTCCTAAAAGGGGAATGAAATCAGTTCAATTGTCTTATGGTACCAACAAGATAACTATAGACAGTTTGTTCACTGTTGAATATGCTGTTACAGAAAAAAGGTTTTTTAAAACTTATTTTAAAAATGTTGGTATCTATTTCAATTTTGAAGAATACAGGTTGACTCATGGAGCTTAATATGGCTTTGTTGAACTTATATGTCAGTTTCTTGAATTTATGACATTAAGGTCTACAAATATACTTATTGAGAAACTTTACAAAGACAATGTGTTTGCTACCTAGTTCTACTCTAAGTCAAGCTTTGTGATCTGACTTGACGATTTTTAGTCACATTCTATCTTCTTTATCCTACTCTTAATAATCTCCACAATAAGAAAATGGCATTAGCTCTCATATTCTAGCTACTTTGCTAATACAGTAAGCATGGCTGTAAACATATTAGTAAGTGTGTCACCAGCCCAAACTGCAGCCCTGATCTACAGACACATACACAAGTACCTACTCAACAGCTTCACTTGGTTGTTTAATACACATCTTGAACAGAATTATCCACAACTGAACAGATTCTCGATTCTCTTTCCCCCATCTAAATCTGCTCTTTCCTGTAGACTCCTTCAGTAGATAAAAACTCCATCCTTCCAGCTGCTCAGTTCCCCAGACCCTGGAGTCATCCATGATTCTTCCCCTTTTTCCCTACCTTGCACACAACCTTTTAACAAATGCTATGGTTCTACCACCAAAATATATCCATAGGATGCCACCACCCTCCTGGTTCAAGTCATCCCATCTCACCTGACTACTGAATATACGCTAAACCTGTCTGTTCCTGTGCTTGCCACCATTCAGTTGATCCTCAATACAGCAGCCAGAGGGACCATTCTGGTGGTTTGAACCAGAAACCTCGGGTCATTCACTGACTTTTCTTCAGCTTCTACACTCTCCACTGCCAGCCAGTCAATCAGCTCCACTCCACCTCCCAAACATCCTCCATATTTATCTGTCCACTCACCTCCTTCCTCCCTGCCACCATCCTCCGTCTCTGGGAATTCTGTAACAGCCTCCTGACTGGTCTTTAAACCTCCAATTTTGCCCTGCACTGGATGATTCTCAACATAATATTCAAAGTAATTTTCTTAAAACACACATCTGGCCACGTCACTGCAGTTTAAAATTATTCAACAGCTTCTCAATGACCTTGAAACTGTACAGCTTACAAGACCATTGGAATCTGGCCCTTCCTTGCTTGTTCAGCTTCCTCTGTCAACATTCCTCAAGGGTAATCGGCATCCCTCCTCGATTCCCCATTCAAACTACTATCTTTCCAAGCAGTAGACAATGCTATTGCTAATATATTAAATTTACATTTTTTAAGTAACTATAAATCAGCTGAAATTTGAAATGTGGAAAATTATACAGAGGCATTAATCCTGCTTTTAAAATGTCTAGGCCAGGTGCTGTGGCTCATGCCTAGATTATAATCCCAGCACTTTGGAAGGCCAGGGCAGGTGGATCATTTGAGGTCAGGAGTTCGAGACCAGCCTTCTAGCCAACATGACGAAACCCTGTCTCTATTAAAAATACAAAAACCAGCTGGGCGATAGTGGCGCGTGCCTGTAATCCCAGCTACTCAGAAGGCTGAGGCAGGAGAATCGCTTGAGCCTGGGAGACGGAGGTTGCAGTGAACCAAGATTGCACCACTGCACCCCAGTCTGGATGATAGAGTGAGACCCTGTCTCAAAAAAAAAAGAAAATAAAATATAAATAAATAAATAAATAAATAAAATGTCTAACTTTTAAGGCAAGAGTAAAAATCTAAATATTTTCCTCCCCTTGGTACAAAATACTTTCCTACACTTGGGAAGTAGACTCCACTTGGTCATTTACAAGGAATGTACATGCAGGCTCTAAGTGAATTAAAACTATATCTGGGATTGGCTTCAAAAAACCTGGTGGGCATAAGTGGAATTCCATAGATGGAAACAAGATTGAACCTGAGTTGATTAAGTGTTGGACTAGGGTGTGGGTACACTAATCTCCTTACTTTTGAGAATGTCTATTTAAAAAGTAGGGGAGGAAAAGTACATGCATCTCTTCTTTTAGGTGGGGTAGTATTAAGAGGGGCCATTTTCTGATCACTTTTTATTAAGTAGGCACTAAAAATATCAAAAGGTGTAACTGAAAACTAAGTTTCCCCCAGGGAGCAAGGCCCCGTTCTGCCGCAAACCAATGGGACAAGGTTCTTGTTATTCTTGCAGAGATATTCTACCCATATATAAACAAATGAATAGATTTTTTTTTTTACAAAAATGGTTGCGTATTATACACATTTTTCCTATCTTGCTTTTTTAGTCTAACATCATCATGAAGGTGAGTCTCCTCTTTGTATATATGGTTACCTCATTCTTTTTAGTAACTATATAGTATTCTACTATATGGATGTTCTATAATTTCTAAAATTAGTTCCCTATTGACAGGTATTTGGGTTGTTTATATTCTTCTGCTATTTATAAAAAATCACATGCTTATTGTTAAAAAAATTAAATCTTCTGCATTCATTAATTTCTAGAAATGAAATTGTTGGGTCAATTTATATTATAAACTAAGACAGGTACTGTCAAATTGTTCTCCAAAGGTTGTATCTCTTTACATCCTCATACATTATGTATCAAAGTGCTCATGTCCTCAGTCCCCCAACACAGACTTATATCAAACATTTAAATTTCTGCCAATGTACCAGGTGAACAAACAATAATCACAGAGCAATAATTTCTTTTATGGCTTTTGTCTCTCTGTGATACTCATAAAATTCTACCGTTCTCTAAGATTTAAACTAAAAAAGTTTAAACATATTTAAACTTTCTGTATGTTCTTCTAGTGTTTTATAGATTCATTTTCATGTAAATCATTATTTTAGGTAATAAAGTTAGAATTTACCTTTTTTCCCCCAGGTATCCACCCACTTTATCCCCAATACCATTCAGTAAAGCATCTGTTTTTCTCCTGTTCATATACATTTGTTAACGTCTACATTTAGACTCATTATACACAGAAAATGTTTACTTGGAATTTCTTTTTCACCAATCCTTCTAAATCTCCCTTTAGGATTCACTTCATTTATTTATTATTTGCTCAAGCTTTCCATAAATTCTTTCCATGAAGGTCAGCTTATTGTCAACTGTTTCTGTTCATCTGTAAAAGATAAACACTTCACCTTCATTCTTCTTTTTTTTTTTTTTTTTTTTGAGACAGGGTCTCTGTTGCCCAGGCTGGAGTGTAGTGGTGCAATCACAGCTCACTGTATCCTTGACCTCCTGAGCCCAAGTGATCCTTCCATCTTAGTCTCACAAGTAGTTAGAACCACAAGCGTGAGCCACCATGCCCAGTGAATTTTTAATTTTTTAATTTGTTTTTGTAGAGATGGGGTCTCCCTATGTTGCCCAGGCTGGTCTTGAACTCCTGTGCTCAAGTGATTCTCTCACCTTGGCCTCATCTTCATTTTTGAAAGATGACTTCTCTGTGTATACAATTCTATGTAAATAGGTAATTACTCTCGCCAATTTAATGATATTTAGTCTTGGGGTTTCCATCATCAATCTAACTGTTTTTTCCTCTGTAGATGCTGAGTCTTTTTTCCCTTGAACTGACTCTAAGATATTCTCCTTTCTCTAAGGTTCTATAGTTTTGTCACAATTGATCTAGATGTGGATTTCTTTTTATTTATTTGCTTAGGATACACTGTGTTTCCTATATCTATGGATTTTTACTTTTCATCTATTCTGAGAAATTCTGAGCTGTTACTTTTTCATATATTTTATTTGCAATGAAGAGTTCCAGTATCTGGAATCTCTAGAGGTCTAAATCTGTCCTTTACTGTAAATTTTGTGAATTTCCAACTAGTAGCTCATATTTTATTGACCTTAAATTAGAAGAATCCTGTGAATCTAAATGTGGGACACTTTTTTTTTCCAGAGGTTTTCTACTTGATTCTGCCCAGAATCAGAGGCTCTCACTAACCTAGAACCAATTGGCCCCCCTTTCAGAATCCAGGCTTAATCCAGGAGCCTGAGGTTCACCTCCTTGCAAATGACCCACCAGACAGCCTTCCAAACATAACGGTTAAAGACTCGAAAACAACCCTGACCCACAGGGTCAGTGCACCTCTCAGGCGTGCAATGTTTCCTGCTCTGGCTTTGGCTCCTGGTTTTGGGCAGTGGGTTGGAGCAGGAGGAGTCCTTGAATACCTGTTCCCTATCATGAACCCAGCAATGCATCAGTAAGTCGTACATCAAGAAATGACTCATTCACTCATTCATTCATTCATTCAAGAAATATTCATTGAGCACCAACTATAAGCTTGGCTCTGTTTAAAACACCAGATACCACAGTGAGTGTAACAGAAAAATTCCTACTCTCAGGAGTACATGATCTCATTAGGAAGGCAGACAATAAACAAAATAAGTCAGGAAAGTACACTGTACATTAGACGGCAATAAGCGCTATACAGAAAAACAGGATGTATGGGTGTGTGCAGGACAGGATGTAACTTAAACGCGATGGCTGGGAGGGGCTCAATGGGAAGATCACATTTTGTAAAGATCGGAGGGAGGTAAGGGAACTAGCCATGTAAATGAGGGGCAGACACTCTTAGCAGATAGAACAGTAAGCGTGAAGGCTCTGAGGTGGGAACCTGCGTCTGCCCAGTCTGAGGAACAGCAAGATAGCTGGCACAGGTGCAGCAGAGTGCTGAGGTAATGTGGGGCCTTACAGGCCACTGTAAAGCCTCTGACTCTTGCTCTGCGTGAAGAGAAGTCCCTGGAGGGCTGTGCTCAGGAGTGAAATGATCTGATTTCCGTTTGAGCAGTTTTACTCTGACTGCTGTGCTAAGAGATGGGAAGTAGGACAGGAGTGGAAGCAGGGTCACCAGCAGCCCGGTTCCACATGGCGACGCTGTGCAAATTAAGACAAAACTCCATTAACAGCAATTATTTGGAACAGCCAATTATGAGCAGAGTATTTTTAAATCACTTTAATATTTAATAAGACATAAAATCAATAAAAATCATAGGAAAGAGACTGTAGAGTACAAATGTTAAAAAGCTTACAAATATTCATATATATTTTTCCCAATCAGAACAGGTCAGAGAGGTTGGGGGAGAGGAGGCTGAAGAAGCTAGGGGAAGAAAATACATAAAAACCTGAGTTTTTTGCATTCATTCCAAATTACTGTGATTCTTGTGAAAATTCTTTTATTATGCTGCCATGAAATGAAGAGTAGAAAATGTGTAACATTGTGCAACTTAAAAAGTTTGAGACTAAAGAGGCTGGGACATGCAATTATTTTGAATATACCAAAAGGTTGAAATGATACAAATTTGTTAAAATTAACTTTAAAAAATTAAACAACCACACAAATAAAAGTTGCTTAGGAGTTATTCCATTCAACTTTGTGGTTTCACAAATCGGTATGTGTGAGGGATAGAGAAACCTTACAGAGTTGTAACTGCACCTACACCCCCCGCTGCACCAGTCCATTCCCACAGAGGAAGCTGTGAGCAGGTCAGCTCCCAAGGCTGTGCTGACTCCATTTCTAGAGGATCAATTCTTTTTTTTTTTTTGAGACAGAGTCTCGCCCTGTCACCCAGGCTGGAGTACGATCTCGGCTCACTGCAGCCTCCGCCTCCCGGGTTCAAGCAATTCTCCTGCCTCAGCCTCCTGAGTAGTTGGGACTACAGGTACCCGCCATCATACCTGGCTAATTTTTGTGTTTTTAGTAGAGATGGGGTTTTGCCATGTTGGCCAGGCTGGTCTTGAACTCCTGACCTCAGGTGATCCGCCCACTTCAGCCTCCCAAAGTGCTGGGATTACAGGCGTAAGCCACTGCACCCGGCCAAGAATATTAATTGTTAAGTATCGCTTTCTTATTTGAAAATGTGAATTCAAGATAACTTTTGAGAAGAATTTCTTTTTTGTTTCTGGTTTTTTTTTTTTTTTTTTTTTTGTAGAAGAATATTTTAAAAGCAGATTCTAAAGCTATTATTTCACTACCTTTTCGCAAAATAACAATAAACAGTGTTGTGGGCACACTAAAGACTAAAATGTTTCCACTTACCGTAGAGTCCATCTGATTATATCTGGCAATATCTTTGTGCAGTGTCCGTAACATAATCATAGCTACCATTCCAGATAAGAAGAGGACAATGACCAGGGAATTCATAATGCTGTAGAAATAAGCACATTATGAGTAATCTGTAGCTTAATCTTAGGAACAGTAAAACTCTTTTAAAAACTGTCTACTGAGTAACATTAAAGTAGTCTTAATCAAAATCAAAACGAAAGCTACCTAAAATCCAACAAATTCAATGAACTGTGTTCTTTCATGTTTCCCTCTAGTAGATAAATAACATTATATACTTATCATAATACCATTTCATAGTCTGTTTTGAACTAGAATTTTTTGGTACATGGTCAATATTATGAAATAACTACTGTGCCCAAATCACTGCCATAACAAAGGACTGGTTTGTGCCCTTAAGAAATTTACTGAAGAACAACTTTACTCAGTAAATTAGTGAGTGTCAAAAAGATCAGACAGCAATAGGAAAAGGAGGGTTATGGCAACATGAACAGCTTTCTAGATAAAAGTTTTGAATCATGTTTGAAGGGGATAATAATAAAGTCATAGCAACAGCAGCAGCTTCTGTTTCTGAACACTCTTAATGTGCCAGGCAATGTCCTCAAATGCTCTGTCCCATTATGTCCTTTAATCCTCACAACAATCCCATGAGGTGGGTATTTCTAGATAAAGAAACACATGCTGAGAAATTAAGGGACCTGCCGTGACTCACAATCAGTGGCTGAGAGCCAGGATTTGAACCCAAGGCCAGACTTTTGAATAAAGTAGAGAGGATTTGAGAGTAAATGAGATGTTCAAAGGGACAGAGGGTAGAAAAGTAGAAAGTAAAAGCAGGCTAACTCTGTACTCTTACCTAAACCACTGAATGTGGGTATGAGGCATAGACTCCAGAATATAGTCCCATCTAGATGCCCATCTGATCTTATCATCTTCCTAGAGGAGATTAAAAAATCTCTTTAAGTAAACATCTGCTGACAACACATTAAGAACAAAAAAAATCCCATTCAAAGCTTGCCCTTCCATTGAGTCAACAATTGCAATTTCTAAATTATCATAACTTTGGTTAGTCCTGAGATTCAGAGGGTTTCAGATTTACTAAGGTCTAGGGAAATGAGAGTAAGATTATGCAGCCAAAAAAAAAAAAAAAAAAAAAGAATTCCTAGTAATACCCACTAAAAGTATTGTTTTAAATTATAACTAGATGTTTAGATGCCTACATTTAGAGCTATATGTTTTGTTTTTTTTTTTTAAAGATAATAACGGAATGGAAAGGAATAATTATTCTTTCTTTATGCCAGGGGAAGCTAACTAGACCAGCCTTCCCAGGCACACTGAGCTCTTAGTATCTAGAAATGTATACTGTTTACTGTGCCAGGTTTGCAAAATGAAACATTATACGGGGATATTAAACATCACAACTATATTGGATTGCCAAAAGTTTTAAAAAAATAGAGGTGGAACACTGCCTAAGTAAACCTGCATTTTAAGAAACTTCGTTAATAAAAATACTCCCTTCAATTTTCTAAGACAATTTCCCAATTGGAAACTCTTCATTTAAAGTTCATACTTAAATACTGATTTTAAAAATGGTGAAAAAATAGAAGTAGAATACTAAGATTCTCATAAAAATGAATTTGCATTTTAAGAAACTTCGTTAATGAAAACATTCCCTTCAATTTTCTAAGACGATCTACCAATCGGAAGCTCTCCATTTAAAGTTCATATTTAAATCCTTTAAAGTATGGTGTTGATTTCCAAAAAGGTTTCTGAATATATCTCTGGCATTTCCATCCCGTCCTCCATGCCTATTTTTGACTTTTGTCTTATATGTATCTCTTATGCTTAACACTAAATCAGGCTCAAGTCTCCAACTTCCTCTATATTCTCATTTAAACTAAGACTTAGTTTCAAGAGTGATTATGTTGCTTGGTACACTGACAAACTATCCTAAAAATCAGCTCATTCATAGCTTCGTTATTTGACAAGCATAAACAGTAACATTTTAATTAGTTTAAGTAGTACAAATTTAAAATCAGTTTCAGAATTATACTAAAGATAACAACAGACTTACCTTGAAGCTAACAGAGTAAGTATAGGCAATTTTTATCTCCCCAGAAGCCTTGTTACTTATGTCCATGGGGGGCCCTGAGCAGTCTGGTTTATCTATATGGGTATGTTTGAAGCTGTGGGAAGAAACATTTTGGCAAGATGCTGATAAAGTACAATTTTTTTTAAATAAGGTAAAGAAAGGTTAGAGATTTTGTACGTATTTTAAAATGCTGCTGACAAAGGTGAAATTATTCATGTCATATTTAATAGCATAAATATCTACTTCATATAAATATGTGTACAAAATTATAAACATACTTTTGAAAACACTATACTTGAAGAGCATTTAAATAATCTTTTTAAATCTTTTTGGGGGGGACAGGGTCTTGCTCTCTTACCCAGGCCTGAGTGCGGTGGTGCCATCACAGTTCAATGCAGCCTCAAACTCCTGGGCTCAAGGGATCCTCCCACCTCAGTCTCCCAAGTAGATGGGACTACAGGTGTGTGCCACCACACCCCATGCCCAGCTAATTTTTCATTTTTTGTAGAGACAAGGTCTTGCTATGTTGCCCAGGCTGGTCTTGAACTCCTGAGCTCAAGCAATCCTCCTGCCTTAGCCTCTCAAAGTGCTGGGATTACAGCATGAGCCACCATGCCTGGCCTTTTTTTTTTTTTTTTTTTTTGAGACAAGGTCTTGCTGCTCTGTTTCCCAGGCTGGTGTGCAGTGGTGTGATCTCGGCTCATTGCAGCTTTAAACTCCTGGGTTCAAGTGATCCTCCTACTTCAGCCTCCTACAGGCATGGGCCACAGTGCCCAGCTAATTTTTTAATTTTCTGTAGAGACAGGGTCTCACTATGTTGCCCAGGCTGGTCTTGAACTCCTGGGCTCAAGTGATCCTCCCACTTCAGCCTCCTACATGCACAGGCCACCATGCCCAGCTAATTTATTTTCGGTAGAGACACGGTCTCACTGTGTTGCCTAGCCTGGTCTTAAACTCCTGGCCTCAAGTGATCCTCCTGCTTTGGCTTCCCCAAAGTGTTGAGATTACAGGTGTGAGCCACTGTGCCTGGCTAAATAATCTTATTAAAAAAATATATACTGACGGAGTTTAACTGCCATCTTATTATGCCATGTATTTCTTTACCACCAGTGCATAAGAAAAAGGTTAATTCAATGGCAGAAAAAGTAATGAAAAAAATGAAATACTTAAAAAAAAATCTCATAAATAACTGATATGTACGTTTCTGATAAAAAATAACAAACAAGTTGAAGAGCTGTCTTTCAATGGCTAGTATTTCATACTGGCATCTAACACTGAATAGGGGCTTGAGAAATCACAGTACGTGTCCACTCATTTGGGCCTCTGACCAGAGGAGAGCTGCAGATATCTGAGGCAGTGTTCTTTCCACTATGAAGGGGAACACTGTCCCAACCACTCAACTTCTCCTTCCCCACTGACACGTGGAAAAGCTGTCAAAACCTCCTGATTGAAAACAAAACACAAAGGCACCTTGGCTTGACTGCTTGTCATGACAGGAAAAGAACTATTGGTACGGTTTCTCTGGACAACCCATAACTCAGTAACAAATCATGCCAAATCAATCCTGAAATGCCAGAATATTTAGGAGTAATTGGGCCCCAAATACTTATACTTTGGGTCTAAATTTCACTTATACTTGTTTACTTTTTATCATTAATATAATTACCTTTTTGGTTCAAGTTTAGCAGCCACTAATCTTGCTCCCATGGACCCAGTTTCAACAACATGATAGTATATTTTGATGTCAACATGGTTGAAGACGTAAAATGTATCTCTTTCATGGAATTCTGACTGCGGAAGAGAACTTAAAAGTTAAAGGTAGAAAACTACATAAGAGTCAAAACATAAAGCTTTAAAATGGGCTACAACAAGAAAATTTAAGTTTGAATGGAATTTTAATCCTTTCATATTAACATGTTTCAATTTTATACTTAAACTCTTTTTAAGCCAAAAATTAATTGGGGAAGGTATCTGCTTCTTACAGTTTTTTTTTAACAGAAAATTTAGTAAGTACCAATTCAAAAGAACACTAATCTAGTATTTTCTAGCCTTTCATTTAAAATGAAACAAAATAAAATTTAAAATATTCCGAGCACACTAAAGCTTATACATTTAAACACTTTTTCTGCCTGGAAGCTTGTAAGTTTGGACTAAACTCATAACCTAAATTACTCAAGTATCTCTGGTCTTTTGTGAGCGCACAACACAAAAGCCCTAATTGATATAATCAGTTTCATGATTAAGCTCATGCTAACTTCCACTGGATCTGATCCATTAAGAGATTTAAATCAGGTTGATCTGATTACACAAAATTTATTTTAACATATGTCCCCATCTAGTTCTAATTACCTTCTATAGTAACGTCTCTATTTGATTAATCTATTTTTAAATATAAAAGAATGGCCTCAAAGACAGATAGGTCTTAAAAAGGGTATAATATCTGACTTCTGCAATACAAATTTAGTTAACTTATAATGAAGTCTTTTTTGACACTCTACTATGTACATTTTGTAATATGTAAGATTTACGAGAGTTAGAACAAAGTTCTAGACCTTACCATAGCACTTAACATACAACAGACACTCTCAGTAAACGCTGAACTGAATCTGAATTATTCCAATTCTAAGGCTCAACTTACACATTATTAATCTGCTGTAAGTTTAAGATTGAAGTAGTTGTACTTCAGAACATCTGAACTGTACTCATTAAACGAATATAACAATTTTTGTCCAGGTAAAGACTGAATTCTGTCAAAAGCCATGTTTTAAAAAGCAGCAGAGTTTATCATGAACTTACATTAATAACACAGGCATCTTTTGCATGGCCTTTATCTGTAATGTAACAGCCAATAGGAAATCCAGGATTACAGAACCTCTGACCATCTTCAACATCGTAACACCATGTTACAGGCATATTATCCACAATCCTACACACGGAAAGAAGAGTTAAGTTAGAAAAGAACCCACCAAACATGACTAAGAATTACTGCCCAAATCAGTGTCATCACTTTGTAAAATTTAAATGTGTAAATGCCTTAAGATTCCAAAAACCACACAGAATGTTAATGAAATGTGCTATTTCATAAGCAATAACAATATGCCAGTATCTGATACACTGCAGTGATGGAAAAAACTACAGGCTGGTCAGAGTGCAGTGGTGTTTACAACTAATTGATCACAACCAAGTACAGATTTCTTTGCTCCTTCTCTACTCGCACTGCTTCATCTGACTAGCCGGAAAAAAACAAAAAACAAACAAACAAAAAAACCCAACCTTTATAGCTTTTTTGAAAGGATAATGGTACGTAGGAAAGAGTTTTATAAACTAACTTATTGTAATTGCTAATTTAACAGTACTATTTAGACACTTCACTGTAATTTACCTTTAGCAGAACACTCACAGCTCTAAATAGGTACACAAAGCAATATATCTAGTTCCTCAGGAACAGTTTATTAAACGGTAAAGAAGGAAATGTCTCTTATTACTCAGGTAATTCAATAAAAAAGGAATACAATTGCAAGATACAGGAAAATATTAAACTAAAGGGCCAGGAAGAAAAGTGAAAGTTATACAAAAAAATTCTGTGAAAACTATAAATCCAAGTTATTTCTAAAAGAAATACTGCTACAAAGCTAGCGAACCCAATCTTTCAAGTTCTATAGTGAAAAAGGACTTAAATGATAAAAGCGGAAAATAAAGTTCTGTAGCACCGTATAACTACATTATAGTCCGAGCATGTGGCCCCCTGTGCCCAGAGTACACTGCGGGATACAAATAAAAAAACTACTCAAAATATGGCAGCTATATTACAGTCATAAGACGACACTCCAGGGTGTGTTTTATTTGTTAATTAATGTGTGCCTTAGGAAGTAAAATTATGATTCTATATTCACCCAAGGTGTACCTTAACGACCTAATAAAACATGTCTCGTCACCTTTAAATGCGATTTAATAGTACCCAGTTTACAAAATTTTAGAATCACCTATGCTATTAAACTGCTTATTATTATAATCAGCAGGCTAGTAGTTCCAATGAAAAGACTATAAAATATTAGAAGTATAAATGCATCGTTATATAAAATAAATAATTCAGACTTTCTGGAAGCTTAAAGAATCAGTTAATTGCTTTAATTTTTTAGATAGAGATGAAGTTCAATTAATGAATATATACTAGCAATATACAGTATCTTCATGCTACCATATCGGAGGGAAAGTACTACATAAAAATTATAGTGCTAGTTACAAAATGAGAAATTAAGGGGCAATTTAGGTTTTATAAAAGCCAACATCCTAAATATATCATTTATATAATACCTTGACATAATAGCTTTTTCTGGTAATAGGAAGCATTAAAAAAAAAAAATCCCTTTGAAATAAATTTAAGAAAACTTAAAGAATACATTTTTTTTTCCCCTGAGACAGGGTCTTGCTCTGTCACCCAGGCTGGAGTGCAGTAGCATGATCATGGCTCTCTGCAGCCTCAACTTCCCAGGCTCAAGTGATCCTCCCATCTCTGCCTCCCGAGTAGCTGGGACTACAGGTGCATGCCATCATACCTGGCTAATTTTTAAAATTTTATTGTAGAGCTGGGGTTTTACTATGTTGCCAGGGTTGGTCTCGAACTCCTGGGCTCAATGGTCCTCCTACCCTGGTCTCCCAAAGTGCTGGAATTACAGGTGTGAGCCACCATGCCCGGCCAAAGAATATGATTTTCAATTACTGTCTTCCTAAGTTAATGAATAGTATTTATTTAAATTTCTAATATCAAAAAAATTAAAACTCTTATTTCCTATCTGACAGACTGAATAATGGGAAGAAGACTCGCAAGGATAAAGGCTGAATGACTCCCAACTTTTTATTATGAAGAACTCCTTTCCTTTACTTCCAAGTCTGCCCTCCAAGGACCCCATCTGAAACAGTTCTACCAATCAAACTTCATTTAGTAATAACTTGTTTTTCCAATAAATTAATTCCAAAAGTTACTAATCAGAATAACCCATATTGTCAAAATGCACTCAGAAAATTACAGCCTAAAGCAAAGAAACTTGGCATTTAACAAGTTGGCATTTATTTTTTTTTTTTTTTTTAGTTGCAAGATTTAAGAGTGAAGACAGAAGCTCCCATACAAAGGGAGGGGGCCCAAAGAGGGTAGCCGTTGCTGGCTCGAATACCTGGGTTTATATCCCGATCGTTGTCCCTCCCACTGTGCTCTCAGGCGATAGATGATTGGCTATTTCTTTACCTCCTGTTTTTGCCTAATTAGCATTTTAGTGAGCTCTCTTTACTACCTGATTGGTCAGGTGTGAGCTAAGTTGCAAGTCCCATGTTTAAAGGTGGATACGGTCACCTTCCCAGCTAGGCTTAGGGATTCTTAGTTGTCCTAGGTAATCTGTCTGTCTCTCAGTCCCTCTTAACAGGAAAACCCAAGTGCTGTTGGGGAGGTTGGCCGACGACCGCTCTAACTGCTTCCTGCTGAACTGGGGCGTAGTAGCGGTTGTGCAGTTGAGATTTCCTCAGGAAGGGTGCCTTCGATGTCATTAACATCAGAGCATGGGCTAGCAGGCCGGTCCAGGGGTCTGTGGTAGATCTTAGTCACAGACTGCATCTGGGGCTCCCTTTGAAGCACCATTTGTAGTTTTAACACTTCGATTCTGGAAGAGACAAACTTAACAAGGAGGTTAAAGATACAGGGATTGAAATGTATGGCCTGCAGTGCAGGGGATTATTTCTCTGGCACAATTCACAGGCCCTGACTATCTGCTTGATAGTTTTGAAAAGCCCTCATCCAGTAAATAATAATTTGATCATCTGATGGGTGTTATAAATGCCTAAGTGAAAGGTTTGGTGAAGGGTTTTAAGTAATTTCCTTTGGTTAGCTGCAGGCAAAAGTATTTTTCCTTCTTTGGTGGCTAGCCATCCTCAGGGGAGGAAACTACGTCCTCATGAGGTTCCCCATTCTATTTCTTCTGCTCAGTATGGGGACTTGGCTTCTCAGAGGGGATTACCCCATATTAGGGGTCTTTCTATAAGCATTACTAATGGAGGGTCCTGTCTTGTGGCTCTTTCTGCTTCAAAATCTGCCTGGCAGTTCCCTTCTATTTCCCTTTCCTTTCCTTTCTGATGACCCTGGCAGTGAAAGACTGCCACCTCTTTAGGTTTCTGTACAGTCAATAATCTCCTAATGGCTTCCTGATGTTTGATAGGTGTTCCCTCGGAAGTTAGGAATTCCCTTTCTTTCCATATTGCTGCATGGACATGGAAGACTGGGCAAGCATACTTAGAGCCTGTATATATATTTACCCCTTTTCCTTCTCCTATTTCTAGCACCCGAGTGAGAGCAATTAGTTCTGCCAGCTGAGCGCTAGTTCCTGGAGTGAGGGGATTACTTTCAAGTATTCCATTATCATTGACCACTGCATACCCCGTTTTCTGAAGTCCTTTTTCTACAAAGGAACTTCCATCAATATACAAGCTGAGGTTGGGATCAGTCAAGGGAACCTCTAGAAGGTCCCCTCGAGTAGCATAGGTTTGAGCAATTACTTGTTGACAGTTATGTTCTATCTTTTCTTCATTGTCTGGAAGAAATGTGGCTGGGTAAAGAGTTGCACAAGTGCGCAGTCGCAGCACTGGCCCTTCAAGTAATAGAGCCTGATATTTAAGGAAACGGTTGTCTGACAGCGACAAGTCTCCTTTAGCAGTAAGAATGCTGTTCACATCATGAGCTGTCCACACAGTAAGATCCCTTCCTTGTATTATTTTAACTACTTCAGATACTAAGACCACTACTGCCGCCACTACCCGTAAACAATGAGGCCAACCTTTTGCCACTACATCAATTTCCTTACTTAGGTAGGCCACGGGTTGCAAGCTCATCCCTCAGATCTGTGTAAGGACTCCTAGAGCTATTCCTGTTTTTTCTGTGGCATATAAAGAAAAGTCTTGCCCCGCTGGCAAGTTTAACACTGGGGCTTGGGTTAGGGCCTTCTTTAGGGCCTGGAAAGCCGCTTCTGCTTCAGGTGTCCATCTTACTAAATGGATATTGGCTTTCTGAGTTTCCTTAATTAGTATATATAATGGCCTGGCTATTTTGCCGTACCTGGGAATCCATATTCGGCAGAAGCCTGTTATGCCAAGGAGCCCTCTTAGTTCTTTTAGGGTTTTGGGATTAGGATAAGCCAGTATGGCCTGGATACATTCCTCACTGAGGGCCCTGGTGCCTTTGGATAATTTTAGCCCTAAGTATTTAACCTGCTGTGACCAGAGCTGAGCCTCTGGTTTGGAAACCTTGTAGCCACAGGTGGCGAGGACATTTAAGAGCGCTTGGGTGGCTTGATGGCACAAAGTTTCTGAATGGGCTGCTAAAAGTAAATCATCCACGTACCAAAGGACAAGAGTGTCCAGGTGTGAGAACTGGCTCAAGTCTTGGGCTAATGCCTGGCCAAATAGATGGGGGCTATCCCTGAACCCTTGGGGTAAGACAGTCCAGGTGAGTTGAAACGTTGGGTTCAAAGGATTTTCAAAGGCAAACAAGAATTGAGAGTCAAGATGTACAGGGATGCAGAAAAAGGCATCCTTAAGGTCCAGGACTGTAAGCCACTCTGCTTCCTCTGGTATTCGCGAAAGCAGAGTATAATGGTTAGGTACAGCTGGGTATAGAGGGACAAGGGCCTCACTGATAATCCTGAGATCTTGCACTAACCTCCACTGTCTGTTTGGTTTCTGTACTCCTAAAATTGGAGTATTGCAGGGGCTATTGAATGGTTTTACTAGGCCTTGGGCTTTTAGGTCCTTAACAATTTTTTTGGAGTACTTGTTGGGCCTTGGGTCTAAGGGAGTACTGCCTTTGGTAGGGAAAGGAGGCGGAATCCTTTAGTTTAATTTGAACAGGACGGGCATTCTTTGCTGGTCCATATTGTCCTTCTGTTG